GTGCTTGGCTGGGGGTGGGATGGGGCAGGTGCTGTGGCTGGGGAGGGGGTCCTGTGTTTGGGGAGCTGCCAGGGGGAGGTCTCTGCATCCACAGCAAGAGGAACAGTGAGAGGAGGTGGGGGTGGGTGGCCTTTAGGGATGTGTGTGGGCTTAGTCGGGGGGGGATAGCAGGGAAAAGGGCCCAGGGGCACTGGGTGCCACATGCTTCCTAAATAAAGGCTCTTTCCATGCTCTGTGTTACCCCTTGGCTCTGGCTGTGAACAGCAGGATGGGACAGGCAGGGAGGAAGGGGTTGCAGGGGGAAGCTTGCCGGGCTCAGAGGTGACTGGCAGCCAAGGAGGGTCCTCCAGCCCGAGGAGCCCCCAGGCATCGTGCCTGCTCTTGGCTCAGCTCACCACCACCCCAGGGGAGGTGAGAGCCCCCACAAGGGGTGCAGAGCTCCCCATAAGTGTGTGTTCCCACCAAGAGAGGTGTCAGGGACCAGTTTGGCCCTGCACGGGGTGAAGGCTTCAGGTGACCAGAGATGCCTCGTGCCAGCAGCCAAGCCCTCACCCCAGGGCCAGCTGGGTTCACTCACAGCTTGGCAGCCGCTGGTCCCATCAGCCTGTGCTTGTGCCCACCTTTCTCATCCCCTCAAGGCCATTGTACCCTTTGCCATTCCCCATCTACCTCCCCAGTTCCACTAACCCCCAGTGGAAAAGGTGGCAGGAGGCCTGAGCTCACCCTGTGTCATCCCAGGCTCCTCTGTTGATTTGCTTAATATCACATGATGATGAGACCAGGGAGTAGTATCCCCCATCCAGGGGGGACAGCCCTGGTTCCTCCAGCTGCAGCCTCCTGGGCACCCTGGGTTGTTTGTTCCCTGCTGTGGGATTTCTCCTTGTGCTGTTTTTAGCTTTTGGTTTGGTTTCAGGCTCTTCTCGTGTTCTCAGCCCCTGTCTGGTTGTAGCATTCTTTTCTTCTTTCCCAGTTGCCTGCCCGCCCTGCAGCTTGGCACTGGTACATAAACTGTTTGGAGACCATCCCAAGCAGCAAGAGGCCCTGGCTCAGGCTACAAAGCCCCCCAGAATATGCATCATTAGCTTGCAGTGTCTGATCACCCTCCAGCCCTCATTTGTGGGACTGGGGGAGGTTTAAAAGCAGATAAAAGTCGGATAAATTGGAGACCAGCCACTGTGACTTTATTGGCAGGTGAGGAGATGGTAGTCACTGGAATATGTGGGGTTTCACAGAGCACCTCCTGCTTTCCTGGGTCCCACTAGGCTCAGTTTGGGCTCAGCCTGTCAATGAAAGGCCTGATTATCACAGTCAGGCTCTGTGCTTGCCATATGCCAGGAGGAAGGACCACAGGAGCCAGGAGGAAGGACCACAGGAGGGTGGCAGCCACAGCACAGGAGCTTGATTGGGTCACTGTACCAGTCCCACAGGGGTGACCTAACCAGGGATGTCAGGGGACCAAGCAGGAGCACTTTGGAGGCCAGTTGGTCAGTGTGGGACTGTCTGCAGTGTTTGGAGGGGATGCACAAGCCCACCTGCCCTAGACTACCCTGAGGGGGACAGTGTGGAATGCCCGGAGCTGTGGGTGCAGTGTGGGGACATGGGCCCAAGTGAGGTGTTTGCTCTGAGTGAGAAGGCTTCTCCCTGGGGATGAGGATGCCCACCTGGAAGAGGAAGACCACCTTAGCTCACAGCTCAGGAGAGGACCCTGAGGCAATGGCGTGGGGATATGGTGTGTGCCAGAGCCCAGAGCCAGGCACCTGCAGAGGTAACACTGGTGGGCTGTCACTGCCCTGCCAGGTGGGACAACACATGAGGAGGCAAGCCACCCAAAAACCAGCCAGGCCTCACCAGTGGGTCTCCCAGGCAGTGCTGGGTGGGTCTGTCACCAGCTCCAGGACAAACTTCCCTGGCCCGAGCAGGTACCGAGTCACCTCCAAGGCAGGTCCATGCGTGTGAACCCTCACAGTGAGCAGCTAGGGAGGGTGTGTGTCCCACCAGAGCTGGCACACTAAAAGTGACAGTCCAAGGACCAAGGTGAGCTGGGCTGCCATGGCCCTGGGTGTCCATCTGTCTGTCCCTCCATAGGAGCCCTGCAGCACCCCAGGTACCTGCCCTGCTCTAGGAGTGTGGGCTGGCCCTGGCAGCCCCATGGTCCTGCTGGGCTGGCCACCACCCCACTTCAGGGAGGGGAACCTTGGGGTCCTTTAACCACAGGAGAGCTGCCAAACAAGGTGAGCCCTTGCCCTGGGGAGGTTCCTCCCACCCTGGAGCTGGTCCTGGGCCAGGTGAGTGGCTGGGCCCCCCCACTGGGGTGGTCCTGGCAGGGAGTGTCCCTGCACCCTGGTGCAACCTGTGCCCTTGGGGAACGTGGGGAGTCTGCCTGTCTGCTCCCACCAGCAGCTCCAGCCCCTTTACAGGGAAGTTGGGACTGGGGACAAGGTCCTTCATGGAGCAGGCAGGGATATCAGTTAACAGGCAGTAAGGAGCTGGCAGCAAACAGGGTGACCCTCTGTGCCCCTCCTGCCTGCACAGTGGCTCCCTCTGCCTCTCCCTGTCCCTGCCCAGCAGAGCCACGTCAAGGGGGGGCAAGGTGCCCTTGCTCACCCCAGGGAGGAGGAGGAGGACGGGTTCCCACCAGGTGTGCATGTGCATTAATTTCTGCTGGCCCAGGGAGCAGCCTGGGCCCAGTCCAGCCCCTCTCCAGCTGGTGTGCAGCCAAACCCGGGCAGGAGGCTGGGAGTGCCCCCCCATCCTACCCAAGACTGGCTCTGTGGAAGCCAGGCTGGATAAGGAGCAGCTCCCAGAGCCAGGACAGCTGCGAGAGGAGGGGTGTGTGTGTGTGTGTGTCACCAGGAGACCCCCTAAGCCGCAATCCCTGGGGCAGTGGGGGTGCAAATGGGGTGTAAACCTGGGCTGCAGCTGGGGCCAGCCAGGGATGGGGATGCCAGGGTGTCCCAGCTGGGCCCCCGGGGGCAGGTACTGGGGCTGTTAACCAAGGGAACTCTATTAACAATTAACTCTATTAACAGAGGAGTGGCTGCAGGGGATGTTGCTGAAGGGGGGGGGAGCTGCCCCCCCATCCCCGGGTGCTGCCAGGCGTGGCAGCCCTTCCCTGGGTGGGCAGAGCCACCAGCAGCAGGACTGGAGTGCAGAGGTCTGCCCACAGATCCCAGGGCAGGTGAGGGCTGAGTTTGTCCCAGGGGCTGTCCCCTCAGCCCAGCCCTGCCAGACCAGCCCCTTTGGGGGGAGGCTGATGGCCACCTCTTACTGCTGCTCAGGGCCCTGCTCCCCCAGCCTGCAGCTCCCTGTCCCTGCCCCTCATGCCCCCAGCCCAGCTGGCACCCCCAAAGACCTTCCAGGAGCCAGGTTTAACCCCTTCCTTTCCAACGAGCAGCCCAGCTACTCCAGGAGGAGGGAAGAGACCCTGATGGGGCTCTGTGACCCCACACCCCCAGGCTGCAGCACCCAGCACCCCATATGAGCAGCTCAGCACCCCAAACCTGTGGTTATGGGGACATCAACCCACGAGAACGAGCTGAGGCAGTACTGGGGAGTGGGGTCTGAAATGAGCTTGCAAGGCCTCAGCACTGGGGCTCTTAGGCTTCATCCAGCTTGTCTCAGCTTCCCTGGAACTTTTGATTTCCTTTTGATGTGATAGTATCAAATTACCAAGTGGCCAATTACTCAGATTTAGTTGCTTCCCTTTGGTGTGATGTCTGTTGTGATTCAAGGGTGGGAATGAGCAACATGAAGGAACCCAGAATAACCCTCAGGTGAAAGAGCTGGGTAAAGAAGTCCAGGCCTGACATGGGGTGACAGCTGAGGCCCTACCAGCAACTCACCCCCAGGCAGTTCCTTTTGGTGACACAGAGCTGGCAAAACATGG